GTTGAATTGATGAGTGAACGAGATATTGCATTTATAACACTTGTATTATGGATACTAGATAATTGATAAACATACTTAAAAATCCTTTTTTTGTAAATAAATACATATTATACATATATAAAAACCCAGACACTAGAAAAAACACTATGTTTATCACACAATATTTTTCCAGTAGTGGGGATTGAACCCTATGGCGCAGGAGGCAAATACACTACCCACTACGCCATTCGAGTCGTCGATACGCTATGCGTCTGTCCGTTTCTTTAGGAGTTACAGTGTTACTACGTGACAGTCTGAACTGGCGAACTTTAACTTCAAGTTTGATCTATCAGAGTAGATGGTATATCCAACAGCATCGAACAGCATAAATACTAAAGTACGGCTACTCTGGTATTGTATGTAATATCTGAGACCGATTATGTAACGTTTTGAAAAGAATGGAACATGTTAATCGAGTTTGTTATCAAATTTCGTCGTGACATTGAATTAAGCGTAAATTATGAGGCATCGTGTCTGTTTGCATTCGTTGAAAACCATGGTGGACTTTATAATCCACGCATAAGGCGATGTGAAGTTTAGATTAGAGCATGCGGTAATCTCTTTGATAAGCTAAGGTCTTTTGCCTTCTACGTTAGTATTAGAAGGTAACTTCAGAGACGAACAAAATATCACACATTGTCATGTGAGTGGAGTAATTAATATAGGCAAACGATTTATGAGGTGTGGTGACCAAATTGGGATATGAAGATGACTCCCTGGCGCAGTAGCCAAGGTATTGGCTTCGGCGTCAGGGGTCGTGGGTTCGATTCCCACACGGGACAACTATTTGTGCGACCCACAGACAGTTGTTTCGCATCTGGGTGTTTGTCCACGTGAAATTTATGTTTGTAAAAACGTCCGCCCTTACAACACAGGATAATGTTATCCTAAAGTGAGGGCAATGTGGGGGCAATCCCTAGACAAATATCAATATACGATAAGATGGTAATAATCTTCAGAAACTTTTTTATTACTGAAGACGTTTGAAAAGTTACACGCAACTGTATTAGTACACGACATGGAGTCATTTGTTAAACAATTTTTTTTTCTCAAGACTAACTAAATCAGGATATTGATCTCAGCGTCTGTTGTTGTGCGAGCAACATGATTCATTCACAAACTAAAATAATTATGAGATCTTTTATGTAGTGATGGTGATTGCAATACAGTTTCAGGTATAGGTAACATGATTGATGTATATACATTGTAGGGTCATAAGTTCTGTCACTGAAAACTTTTTAATTTAAATGCTGGCTAAAAAACATTTATTTAATTCGAACTTCTAATATTTTATGTAAATAAGAATGTGCACTATTTCGAATTTCCTTTATTTTATGGAGTGAAAGCGTAAAGAAGACTGAGTAATGGTTATCATGTTGCAGCGGTTACGCAGCAAATCAGATTTTCGAACTACTGAATAATTTGAATAAAACGATGTTTATTGATTTAAATTCAAATGTAGACGACACAAAAAGAAGCGGCTGTCCTCTCAGTATTAGAACTCCAGTAGTGAAGGCGCGAATCCAAAGAAATCGTGTAAGTAGAAACTGTTTGCACTTCAGATGGGGTGATGCAAAACCACGCTTAAATGGATGTTGAATGAAGACTTAGGGCTTCAAGCTTATCAAAGAAAAGCAAGACATCATTTGGATGTGCGTTATTGTATATGAGACTGAAGAGATCCCGCGTTCATTTGCAAGTGGTACACAAGAAAAAAAACATGGTGACATTCTTTTTTATTACGAGTTAAAAAATTACCATGGAGGAGAGGAATAAAATATATAAAAAGGCATAAAATTTATGCATTTGTGTATCAAAATACAGCCCTTACAAACCTTTTGGAACCTCTTTCTCATACCATGTTAAATAAAAGAAATTCGATATTCCAGTAAAGCTCACAGAGCGAAAAGCACGCAAAACACACGGAGACTGGCCCTCCTCCAGTGCAGAATTAAATCCGTTGGATTAAAAAATATGGCAACATTTGGAGGAAAAGGCCTGCTCAAAGCCTCGTGATGATTTGGAGTCAATACAGGCATCATTGACCAAAGCAGCTGCCGATTGTCATATGGACGTCGTTCGTGCTGCTATAGATGACTGGTCGCATAGTCCAAATCAAATCAAATAAAATCAATGGAATGCTTGTTTTCGAAATCGCGGGATTAATTTCCCATAAGCTTAGTTAGCATAAGAATAGTGTAATTTTCTTTTGGTGTATATTATTGGAAAAACAAACATGTGTTAATTATTTCAAACTAAACATGTGGCAGAACTTATGACCCAATTACAAATTTAAGACAGTTTTCAAATCGTTCATAAACTTGATACTGATATTTCAGTAAATATGGTACGCGTATGTTCAGAAGTATTAGAGAAAGGATACACGATCGATTTTACAAGGGCAGATCGTGATTCCAAAGCATTTTGTTCCGTTCCGTCGAAATTAAGTTTCTATGACATCATCGATTTTGCTATTTCTGTGATTTTGAAAGGTGCCGATTTCAACTCGTTACTTAGGTAAATAAATACCAGAAGTTGCAGTTAAACTGTTATCTTGGAGTGTTAGATTTTTGAAGGACTGGTAGTAAGTTATATTTCTTATACCCGCTATGCAGACGAAGATTTTGCCCAGCAGTGGGACATGTATAAGCTGTTACTTTCTTTACTTTTATACCGTAATCGTTGGATTATCAAGTTCTTTAAATCTCAAATATATAAATGAAAATAACAAGTATTTGTTATCGTACAATGCCGTTAAAACTTTATAGGTATATATATATAAATAAATATAGGTATGTATAGGTAGGTATATAAAGTTTTTACGGTTCCTCAACTTTTCTTCTTTCTTCTGCCGTAATCCCACACTAGGTGGGGTTGGCACTGCTTTCTTCTATCAGCCGTCATCTCAATACTGACCCCTATCCTCTATCCCCTATTCACCACCTATCCTTATTTAATTGAACACTAGTTAATACGCATTTAGAGAGTTCGTTCACCTTTCTTCGGCATTGTTAAATTACTGTCGCCATTGAATAATGTGATCACTTAGCCAATATCTGACCTTTACGCATGAGCCGTTTAGACGAACAAAGACAGACCGGTATCACCTAAATACGTGTAATGTCAAGGGTATACCGTGATAGGATAAACTGGTATTTAATCCAACACTATTGTTCTATTAAGCGAGTATTCAGCGTGTTCATGAAAATTTATTACTAAAGTGTGCTTGCGAAATCTTTCAAAAGCGATGATTTAAATATTGTGGATAAAGCAACTGCTGGTTAGGTCTTCAGTTCAAATTCCATTACATTGTCACCCTTTCTATATCATAAATACAGTGATATGCATGATATATCAATCACAAACTATAATAATGATATCATTCAAAGTAGGTGTCCCTGTAACATGTTCGTATTGGCAATTAGATCATAGAGTAAACTTAATTGATAGTTAACAGAAAACTAACTTAGTAAATGTATCTAGTATAACAAAGCTCAGTATCCAGTAAAGATATATTAAATCGGAACAGACAGTCACTATAAATCAATTAAAGACGTAATGTGTAATTACTGTGGTAGGGTTGAGAAGAGTCGATATTTTGTATAAAAAAGATCATACTCAAACTACCATAACCTGTTTATTTATTTTCTTGATTTTAAACTTTTTTTAATTAAAATTTATTATTTCTCCATTTTTTTTTATTTTGTTTTAATTTTTTATAATTAAAGTGCCAGAAATAATCGCATCATTATTTTTATTCCATCTAGTGTTTTTTGAATCTGTATATGCCTTAAAATTAGGTAAAGTTAACAACAAAAATAATCAACAAATACGTAATACAATTGTTAAAAACTTTTTTACAGAATTCCAACAAAAAAATCTGTGTGCTAGCTTGGTAACCTTATTGTGCTCTTAAATTGGTTGATCGCAAAAAAAATTGATTCAAAATAATCTAAGGTCAAGCACGAAGCGTGAAATCTAAAGATGAAAAAACTTCGATGCTTAAAAATATATATTTTATTACGTAGCTACCTTTACTTTAAAGTGTTTGACGATTGGAAGGATCTGAATCACGAAATCGCGATCATGGGTTACTTTAAGGTCTTTTACAGTGAATGCTGCAGATAAATTTACTTTAAATAACCCTATGGTTTAATGTTAAAAAAGAACTTGTCACAGGAGCATGCTATAGGGGCTACTTGAAATGACATCATATACCATATAGTTTGGCATGTTATATGTATCGTGTAGAAAGAGTGACAACTCAATTGCACTTGAATTGAAAACCTAACTTTCAATCACTCGTAGATTTAAAAAATTTAATGATCGCTAAGCGTTCGAAAATTCTAGGTATAAAGCTTTAATCAAACGCGATAAAAATCTAACTTTAGCTAATCTTAAGTCCCCATTTCTTTTGAGAACATTTTAAAGGTCATCTATTCAAAACTACTTTAATCGAAATTACTTCAAGTGCATGCAATTTCATATCACTTTTTAATTAATTTTTATTAGCTTCTAGTGATAGGAATAGTTCACACTTTTAGAAATTGATTGAAACCCAGTTATTTAATGACAATGACTTTGACTTTGACCCGAGACAAAAGAAATTTGTTACGTAAGCTGTTGTTACATTGTAACGTGTGATTTCATCACTTTGTCTAAATTGTCGTTTTTCTAAAGACTAGGCTGAATGTCATATGAACCTTTGCCTGTTCGAAAGGACGAATGTAAAAGTTAACTTCATTTGGTCCTTTCGAACAGGCAAAGGTTCATATGACATTCGGCCTAGTCTTTAGAAAAACGACAATTTAGACAAAGTGATGAAATCACACGTTACAACATTATGAGTGTACAATTGTAATGAGAAACGTGTCTACGCAACAATCGTTGACCATTGCTTTGTGAACAAACGATTTTAACTGTTCAATTAGCTGATTAGTTAGTGCTATCTTAGATACAGGATGTCACCGGCAGCTTCGTTCGCGAAACGATGGGCCCACGACAACCTCACCCGAGAGCCGACTCCCGACGAGCTCACCATCTTGGAACTGTTCCCGGTTACGTGTGAGGGTGACGAGGAGGAGGCTGCGAAGAGGGCGCGGCGGTACTACAAAGCCAGGGGGCCGGGTGGACTAACGCAACTTTGGCACAAACGGCATCCCGACGATGAGGATATCTTGTCGAGCTGTCAAGACGCGTGAGTTCACATTACTTTTACTTCACAGCATTGTACGAGCAATGCGTCTCGTTCACACCAATCGAGTGTATAGATACCGATGAAATATATTGTCAAGATATCTGAGAGCGTATTCTTAACTTATACATTACAATAACACATAGGATATGATTAATAAAAATGAGTCTCGCAAAGTAACTCTGTCTTTTTCTTATGACTAAAACCGCAGAACCAATTTTGATGAATTTTGTTATAAAGATGAGAAAATAAGGTACTCGAAAGCTGCTACTACTAACTACTAATCCTGCGCAAATAAAGTCGCGGGTACCGGCTAGTATTTAATATTGTGCTTTAATTAGCTATTTTTATGTGAGGAGGTTGCAAGCGAGCTGACAGTTCATCTGATCTCATAACCACCACCCATTGACATTTGCAACGCCCGTAGGATTGCAGATGCGTTGCTACCTTATAATAAAGTCGGCCTCAGCTACCTCACCTGACGAAATGCAGAAGTACTTGGTATTACCCGGACTGGCCTGCCCATTTGTGCAACAGCTAAAGCTGCAGCGTATCCCTACCACAGTTGAGTTTTCTTGATGAATAAGAAGCAACAAGCAAGCAACAATCGTAGATGTATATTTAATAAATGTAGCGCGCTTTATAAATCTTGTTCGTAACAATATTCTAATTTTTAAACCATTATCAATAAGCAATTTTGCTTCAACGAAACAAATGCGAGTTTAATTTTAGATTTCGTTTGGTGATTATGCAATTCATATCAGTAAGCCTATAAAAACTTCTTTTCGAGAACGATCAACATTTTAGGGCAGTTGTGTGAAAAATATCATACATCCAAATTTGGCATCTGAAATTAACACGACATGCAAAAAAACCAGAAATACAGATGCTTAAGATATTACTTTGGTTAAGTTAGATTGTTTTTTAATAAAAAATATTTGCCTATACAAACTAAAAAGTAACTAATTTTATAGATTATTTTATTTAACGGATTTAAGCTTCGATTCAATGTGTCCAAACCTGCCAATATGTCCAAACCTGCCAATCGAAACGAACACTATCATCAATAAATTACACTGAAACGGAAATGGACTGCTCATGAAACCAGCCAATAAGCCGGCAAAACTTGCTTGGCTTGGCCCATTTTTTATTTTAGTTCCTAACGTAGAAGGTCAAAGCCTCAGTTTGTCCCGTGACTAAAAGGGCTTGAAACGTCAGGAACTAAAATTAAAAAAATAGAAACACGATAAATTTACACAAATAGTTTTATTTAGTAATGATTATAGAAATATGAAAAGTGAACATTATTTATAATGTATTCCAGATACATTGTTCCATTAAGAGTGAGGAGCGTCGGTGGTCGCCGTATGACGTTGGTCCGCCTCCCAGCCCCCACAGCCCTGGACAGGCCGCTGTCAGCCCGAGCACTCCTCTCCCGGTGGCTGATGATCTTAGACATCAGGTAATCATCACATCATTGAATAAACCAGCTTATTCAAATAATGAATGCCAACATGATGGACGTTTATAGAACAATGAAAGTTAATGAATGCAACGACCCGATTGGCGTGGGGAGTAGTGACCCTGCCTCTTGCGCCAGAGTATGGGTTCGATCCCCACTACTGGAAAAATATTGTGTGATGAACATCGTGGTTTTCCAGTGTCTGGGTATATATGTATAATATGTATTTATTTACAAAAGAAACGTATGTTTAAGTATGTTTATCAGTTTTCTAGTACCCATAGTACAAGCGTTGCTTAGTTTGGGACTAGAGAACGTTGTGTAAAAAAATGTGTCCAAACTCAATCTAAAAATGTAGTACTATATAACGTATACGGAGATTTCAATTTCAAACAGTGGAGTCCTGTTGACAAAGAACACAAAAGCACCACGAAATATCCATCTAAGAGAGTGTTTACTTACGTGTTACACTTCGTTTGCGTCAAATTTACGAAGAAAGAGACTTATTGTTTTGCAAAACAATGGTTGTTTCCTTTAATTTTGTCTTGTTATTAATATCGTCAAGCTCACGAAAACTTCGCATTATTATAAAGCCTATATTTACACGTTTCGTACTTAGATTGGCATTACTAAAAATTATTGTAATGATCAATAAAAAATTGCGATTATTTTGGTATCTCAAACATCGACATCATTCCAAACATTTATCATTTATCAGTACGTGCCAGTAAAATTCCGATGTATTATTGGCAAGGCTCCATGACATGAAAGCATTGAACGCCTTCGTCTTCTTGCACGGAGGCCAACCACTGTCGTGGCCTCGACTGACGATATAATGTTGAACTTAAGTTCAAGCCGTTCCGATTCAAGGAACTGTTAAAACTTTCATGACTCAATCACTCGTTGAAGGTACGCTAAAAGATATTCCCGCAAATACCAATGTCACCCGGCGACAGGCCGGGTATTTCTTGACGAACTTCAAATGCCTGCATGCGCTATATAAAATACATAACATATACATGTTTATGGAGTTTAAACAAAAAATAAATACGGAACATTTATTGATGAACAATAAATGCAACTGAGTCTTTCACATAAATTTGTATTTTTTTTTTTTTAAAGGTAAATGGACAATCTTTATTCAATAAACCTAATCCACGCGGCATGGTGCCAAGAACGCTAGCTGCATTTCCTCGCTGAATAGTTATGCTCAACCTTTGCGCGAGAAAAGAACCAGCTCTCTTGTCACTTAATTTGTATATACTTATATCAGACAGATCGGTTCAAGGAGAGACGCAACACTTGTTTCTTCCTTAATTATTAAACAATTAACCCAGGCCTATGCATTGGCCAACTTTAGATTGAGTTGCTAATAACATTTTTATTACTATAATAAAACAATAGAATATCATGAATTACAAAACTTACAAAAATTTCTCTTAAAGAAGTTACAATATGTTTAAATTTCGAAAGGTATTTGTTGCCAACCTTTACAATATCATTTCAAACAATATCCTTTACTACGTTTTTTTTTTTTTTTTTTACAATTGTAAGTGCGTAAATATTTTGAACTTGTTAGAATTATGATTGATATATTGATGACTTCGTGGCACAGTTACCAAAGCATTGGAATCAGCGCTGGAGGTTGTGGGTTCGATTCCCACACGGGACTACTATTTGAGTGACCCACAGATAGTAGTTTCAGATCTGGTTTTTTGTCTTTACAACACAAGATAATGTTACCGCATTACGTTCAATGTTCTTTAAAAAAAAAAATACTGAAATTGTTTTTTATTGCTTCGTGATAACTTTACATACTAAATATTTCGTGATAACAAATTATAACTATCTGTTATCAATTTCTAAAAATTCAGATTACGAGAAGATCCAACGCCAGGTGAGGAAGTAGTGTTCATCGACGTTAGTGATTTACAACCGTCGCATCTGAAAAATCACTTCAGGGGCAACTATTGGAAGGATTTTGTCTGGTGTATGAAGGTTTGGAAAATGTTTTACAGAATCTTAAAAGAAAACAAATATTCCCACATATTTTAAAAAAGAATAAAACCTAATCAATCTAAGTATTGTTCATAATTTTCAAAGAGACTCATGAGCACTGCCCGGCAGTTTAACTAGATGTAAAAATAACTAAAACTATAGCCTATGTAACCTAAACTATAGCCTAGTATGTCATTCTGGTGCTATTCTACTTCAAATGCGCGAGTAAAATGGTAATAGTAACGACAATATATTCAATATGGTTATGTGTGGCAACTTAGCTTATGATTTTTCATTAGCATAGTATCCAGGAAAGGATCATAAGAAGAGTACAGACCAAATGTTTAACGGATACGAAATGATAGCTAATTAAATTACCAAATCAACTTAATTCCAATGTACTCGAAAAAACTGCATTAGGGAATTTTGGTGAAGGCTATAACTGCACGATGGAGGGGACTGCATAATAAATAATCTTTAAACTTATTAATACATTGACTCCCTTAAACAAAACCCTCCTTTGCCCATCGTTGGCGCCTGTTCAACTAAACAAATATGACAAGTAGTGATACCATAGTATAAAAACTTTTTCTTTACTAGATTAAATATGGCCTACATTCCGTAAATGGAGCGTTTCATACGAAATAATAGACTCACCCCTGCTAGAAATACAATATGTTCAGAAGAGTTAATGATACATACAGGCTGTATCTGTCCTTCAAGTCACTATTTCTATGTAAACAGATCTTTTTTATGTGTGAAAAGGTGGCAAAAACGCTTGCGGTTCACCTGTTGTTAAGTGATAATCACCGCCCATTGAAATTTGCAACACCCGTAGGGTGGCAGATGCGTTGCACCTTTAAATAAAGCGGGCCCAGCTACCTCACTCACCAGACGAGACGCAGAAGTATAACACTTCCACTTCACGCTGTTCTTCTGTGAGGTCGTGGTACATACCCGGACGATCCAACCCATTCGCGCAACAGAAAAGACGGTTGCGCGGCCCTACCACAGTTGACTAGATCTGGACTAAAGACTAACATGCAGTTACTTTATTAGGAATCGTATAATACCTTAACTGTGGTAGGGCCTCGCAGCAGCCTCGGCTGTTGCACGAATAGGCAGACTCGTCCGGGTAAGTATCACGACCTCACATAAGACCGGCGTAAAGTGGAATTATATATAAGACGTTTCCTCTAGTGAGTGAGGTAGCCGGGGCCCAATCTTCAAAAGGTTGCCAACGCATCTGTAACCCTCGGGCGTAGCAGATGTCCATAGGCGGCGGTATTCGTTTAACATCAGGTGAACGGCCTGCTCGCTTGGCAACTTTTCACATTAAAAATAAATGAATGCTCCATCATTTCAGACAGCTTATCCGCTGCGATTCGCCGAGGTGCACGTGATCAACACGCAGCGCTTAAAGACCATGTCCCTGCTGCTACTCCACCTCGGCCTGTACCCGTGGCGGCGTAAAGTCGTCCGTCTGCATTCCAACTCGGAGCAGATCAACCACATAATGGGCCTCGACTATTTCCCGCCCGAGGGGCTGCCTCACGAATACGGAGGCAAAGCGGGCGCTATGAAGGACCTGAATGGTGATATGTATTAAAATTTGTAGAGAAAATTACGAAAAGTTTTTCGCTGCTGTGGGAATCGAACCCACGTCTTCGCGATTCACACCCTGACGCTTTAGCCACTAAGCTAAACGGCTGATTGAGACACCGACGAAAATCTCAATGTCGTTAGATATTTAACTTTTTATAGTGGTAATCTCTGTACTTAATATTAAAATTTTTATAAAAAAGTGGCATTATGTGACTACATATTATTTCAAAAGTATTGTTAAACAGACTTGTTTAACAATACTTTTGAAACCTGTTTGTCTTTCTTCCTTTCGCTCAATAGCCAGAGACAATAAAGGAATACGAGTCATTCAGTTTAATATGACAATTTAAGTTATGTGACGATGTCCCGTGTCACGATGCTTAATTTTGAAAAAGTGAAAAACTTTTTGATAGTTACAGCAATTTCTACCGTGACCGGACCTAATGGCGACCTTATTCGTAAAGCTATAAAAACACTGCTGCCTCATTGCTGGCTATAAAAGATACTTTTCATTTTTTTTTTAATTCAAAAACTGGCAAGCATTTGACTGCCATCCCAACTGATGGTAAGTGGCGATGCAGCCATTAAAATTACAAACTATTAAAATCATACTTAGCAAAATGTTTAAGATTAATGATTAATGTTATTTTTTTTTTTTTTTTCAAATTTCTATCTTTAAGCCCGCACAGTCCCTTAGAATCAACTTTTTGTAGGATCAATTGCAGCTCGGCTGGCCAATTGTGCAAAATGTATTATCATATACGTAAATCAGTGAAGCACTTTTCTATTTGCATTCCAATTTGTTTTATGAACATTCATTGATCAAGATGACGTGAGTTGTGACCCCTAGATCAAGTATCAGTGTGCTTATTTCCAAGGAATGCTGATGGCACTGTATATTTATTAGGTAAATAAAACCATTGCAATTTAAAATTAATATGCTTCTTAATAATGCAATTGTAATGATTATTGAAAATACCGGCTTCATTGGATGCAGTGGTCGTTCTTCAAACGGCTTGATTATAATTTTGTTGCAACCGTTCATGATGCCTCCAATATACATAGAATAACATTCTCGCACAAATTAATGATTCGTCCTTCTTATTTATAATCGATAAACCAAACAGTATATATTAACTGCGTTGTTTAAAAATATTATCATTATAACTTGTTTATCATATCACATATTTTTCAAATACCTTCTCTATGATATATAAAATAAAATGAAAATTTGGCGCTATTTTCAAATATCCTATCCAATATTACATAAACATCGAAATGTTATGTACACTTAATATTATTCATGTTTGGGAAATGCAACCGATGACCCGATGCCGTCGGTTCGATTCCAACGTGGGATGAATATTGTGTGACCCATATATAATTCTTCCGGATATGGGTGTCTCTTCCAAAAGAGTGTTGACGTCAGGCAGGCGGCTAGGCGTAACAAACCTAGCCATATACCATTAACAATTTATCATTCTAATGTTGTGCCGACCAAACCCAGGTGGAATAAAGGCAGTATAACAAGTGTATTTAACCTTCCGTCTGTTACATTAATAGACGAATGGACGAAAAAGCTCCTGTCGAACTCGGACTGGCTTCAGCTGGAGGAGAGGAAGTACTACCAGACGGAACTGACGCCGGAAGTGAGACGGGGCAGGCATCGCAGCGCCGTGAGGTCCATCCGGGGGGCCATAGGGTCCTACGACATGACGAGGACCCACTCCTGCAGATCGCTGCACAGGCACGACGACCTGGACGAGGGTGCCCAAGGTGCCTACAGAACTCTGAAAGTGAAATCTGATCGGAGCCTCTACGTGTGATCGTACGCTAATACCGTAATCGACAACGATTATGGTACTACGAGCATGTGAAAAAGTTTTTATGCTTATGATTGCCCGTTTATAAATTTGTCGACGACAATTTTCCCCCTCAGTTAAATGTCCAAATCTATTACCAGTTCCTGTAATATATTCAAGTCTATATAAGAAAACTTATTTCTTTTCTATGTGTTATGTCTAAATAGTGTATTATATATATTTGACAAGTAATAGCTGATTAAAAATTATATGTATTTTTGTCAATATACATATGGGTGTTCGTAGTACTAAATATTTTAAAAATTAATAGTTTTAAAATATTTACTCTGTCTAAAAAAATCGCCCCCTTAATGTATTTAGTTTAATAATAGTTTTATGATAATATAATTATATTATCACTAAACTTTTGAGTTTGTCAATTGTTTGAGTTCTTTTAATCTTTTACAAACATTGTCATATTAAATGCCTAAAACTAAATTCCGCTCTAATCGGCTTTGTTCAGTTTACATTGATATGATTTAATTCTACACATTTTAATTTTTTCTTTTTCAAAATATATAAATACTCGTAAATTTAATCTGTTAAGTTTATTTGTACAGTGCATAAAATTTATTTACTATACAATTAATAGGAAGCAAATGTTTTCCATGTACGATACTCGTCAGGTTATTTATGAATATTGTAAATAAAGTGACTCCTACGTGATATCTGTGTGGAGTATCTGTCTTTTCATTTATCAGAAACATCAGGATCCTTTCACTTTTTCAATTTTTGATACAGCGTGGAATAATTCCAAGTGTAATCTTGACGAAGTGCTCGAATTCTATCTTGGCTATTGATAAATGGTGATATAATATTGGTGGTGATGGTGGTAAGCGTAACAGCCCAATAAAAGGTGGAAGCTGCATCGATGATTCAGCTGTTTAAAAGGTCACCAAGCGAAATAAAGATAAAGCGCAAATACGCCAGAAAGCGCTGTGGCTCCATTTTTTTAGGATCCACATATAATTATTCTGTGTGTAATCTATATCCATATTTTAATTTTTGCAAAACGCCCCTCAACAAAGATTACTTTGAAAGTAAGTAAGAGTGCGGAATGGAAATCTTAAAAAATGGAAATAGCAATCGAATTTATAAAAGTAAATGTACTCTATGCATTTTTTTGGCCTGGGCCAAATATCAGAACGAGTATTGTAATGTAGAACGAATCATCAAAATCAAAAATTGAACAAAGTAGTCGGTGCCATGCTATTAAAAAGTCAATGTGCTAGTTAAGCTGAGGAAACGTTAGCAATTTAACATGCACCTTGACCTAAGATGATTAAAAGAGTCTATATATGCCAAAGGGCCTTGGTGCGTTAATCATTATATAAACGAACCAAATCTAGAGCCACAGCAAGCGTCTTGACAGTAAAATTACTAGATCATCTCAAAACATTAGTGAAAGGCACCTCAAATAAGAGCTCTTGAAACTGGCGATCCAATTATATATTTCGGTAATTCTAGACCTAATTAACGTGCATTAATTAATTCGCATCGGCCCGCTGATCACGGTCAGAAAATGACGCGCAAAAAACGGATGGCAGTTATTTCAATAAACATCTTACAACACCATTAGTTAATTAGTTATTTCCTTCACGAAAATTTAAGTGCGCGATGACTCGATGGCGCAGATAAAAGATGGCGTATATGCAACCCTACGGGTGTTGCAAATGTGTCCATGGGCGGTAGCTACTCTCACTTAACATCAGGTGAACCGCCAGCTCGTTCGCCACTTTCCCACATAAAACAAAATTTGCTAAGCTATTGGCTTCTTTTTATTAGGATTAGTGTTATAAGATACGGAACAATTATCTGTGGGTACCACCGTCTAACGTCCAAGGATGTTTCCAAGGAGTGTGGACGTTAGACGAAACCATTCACAATATGCGAATCATGTTGTCGGACCCCACATAGGTGAAAAAGTAGCTGGAAAAGAAGAAAATATAAGATGATTTCTCTTCGAATAACGACGATACCTTGCCCTAATTTCTGTACCAATTGTTTCTTTTGTTTTCCATTTGAAGGCTTCCAATGAACAACCACATCACCTTATGTTAAATGATGAACTTCACCAAATGACATCTACAACAGTCACTGAGAAGGCATTGAAAATATATAACTTCAAAATTTCAGACAATTCTTTGTATAAAAATAAAACATAATATTTTTCAAAATGGAAGTACTTAATATCCGATATCATTTCAAACTGGGGCAACCCAAAATTTATCTCTCAAACAGCAGCTTAACATACCTTAAAATTTACACAATTTCGTATCCAACCAAATACGTTCACAATTTCATGCAAAGAGAAACTGAACGCTCAATTGATTTGTATAACTGTTTTACAGTCTTATAATTTAATCCACTTTCACACTCCTTCCGCAACATACAAAACTGGTAGCCTAAGAACGGTTCAAGTAACGAAACTGTAAAGTGGAAGACGCAAAAGATAAATTTCACTGATAACTCGGTGACAGGAACCCAAAGAACTTTCGACGGGCAACACTCGCCCCAAGTTCGTTAAAATGTTCGCCACAACGACTTGTAAAGGTATGATGTTGCCTACGCCCTGAATTATTACCAGCTGATACCCGACTACTTCGGTGAGCATAGATCAAAGCTACATTGTAAAACCTGTGAAATATTAACGAAATTCTTTATTTCATATCGATAGTAATATCTATAGAAAATTATTCTAGCTTTCGCGTTACACTTAATTTTATTTTTTAATGTCAATCTTTGGCGTACAGGCAATCGCCTGATATTAAATACCAACGTTTAACATGCATAACGTTTTATAAATGATTATTTTTTTATTCGATTGTATTAATTAGTATTATTACATTATTGTTATTGAATAGAAAAAGATTAAAATAAAAACATTACCTGCCCACTTCCCTGGGCGTGAGACTATTTATTTATTACATAGAGAGATGAAAAATACTTAACCAGCAAAAAAATACATTTTGAAGATATGTAAATCTACTAATCCGTGGATTAATTCTATACCCATATGTGGTGTCGCGTGGTAGCCTTTACCCAGGGGCGGGACACATGCAATATAGGCTGCTAATTTGACTTTATTTTTTAGATCAGTTTTTATTATAGATAATCCATTATTTCTGAAAGTGTATAATTCAGTTAGTGTATCTACTAAGCCTTTTTGTTTTCTTTGTAGACTTTTAACAAGCTTTAATTTCATCTGCGCGTGTCAAGCAGACAAAATTTGTCTAAAATCACCAGTTATAAAAAAGTCAATAACAAAGTCTTATATCCTGGAGTATCTCATTAAGAGCCTGAACATCTTTCTTCATCTCGATTCACCGAACTTTTGGGGAACTGCTTAAAACATCATCTGCCTTATCCCTAGAAACCGCATCCAAAATTTCAACTTTAAAAGCTATTCGATTATATCCCTTTTTAATTACTCACAGAAATGTTGAATGAATTTAACACCATCATCATACTCAATAATATATGATGTCGTCCAGCGATTATCTTCGATCTATCTTACTACCACCACATGTACTGGAGACTGTATATGGCAGCGCGAAAAGTCCCCATCACCTGTTTGAGTTTTAAAAAAAGACCTTCGATGCACCCTTTTGTAAGGATATCTCCTTGAAGTGAAATACCCTCGCTGCTATATCAATTATTATAAGTTCAAAGTGTGCGAATGTCATAGCATTTTAAATCAGTTCAAGCAACTGTGAGCTGAGCTATTTGTCATTAAATCTTTTAAACAGGTACAATCCTCACTCGTTAAATGTTTTGCTTCCTTTGAATTCCAGTTACCAATTAGTTTTTACAGTTTTTACATTTAATTATATTTAAAAGTTAAGAAAAAAGTTATAGATTTTTGCATTATCAACCACCAACGACTATTAAAGCGTAAACATCAGTCGTCTTAATACAATTACTGAAACTTAATGATAAATAAAAACACCTTAAAAAGACGATATATTCAGTTTAACGAGTGATGAGGTAATTCTGTAATTCGCGTTTCTTTTATTTCAACACTTTTCTTACTCATTAGGGCTCACTATACACAAAAACAGACTAAAATAGTCTTTATCGCCACCCATTAGAGAGCGTTCTGTTCCTGCATTTGAAATTATTTGGGAAAAACCAATTACAGTATCAAACACGCAAACAAGAAACGTTACGCACTAGTTATGGTAAAGTACGAGTAAATGTAGAGATGATGGGCATTAGGGCATCATTTTTTATTATGTGAGCAGGTGGCAAGCGAGCTGGCTACACCTTCTTGCCGATTTAAATCGTACACATTAAAATAAACATATTGGTGTTACGAGATCAAGCCGACATTCATCAAATGTCATTACTATTCAAATTCAAATTCTATCATTCGATATAGAAGCATTACACTTACTGATTGTCAACAAACACTATTACCGGTTCGGAAAAAGGCCACTGACCTGAGAAGAACCGGCGAAGGAATATCAGCGGGATTATTTTTTTAACATCATTTGACAAAAAAATAACAAATATGTGAAACATTTCACATGAAAAGCAATAGCATGCGGAAATATTAACCACCAATACTAAAAATATTCCAATTTAAAGAGCCTGGGGCGATCAATTCATTTCCAGAGTGTGTTAATTCATCTTTTAAATATAATATAAATAGTCTAAAAGTTTTATTTTCTTTATGAATTTTAGCCACTTGAGATTTTTAACCCTCGCCACGATTATTATGGAATAAGATATAGACATACCAGAACTGCTAAAAAGATATGTTGCGTTTTGCGCCTGCCTTACGCATTATTAGGTGTAGAGAACTAAATTTAATGACCCCTAACAAAATATTGACTTCAGATAAAAGCTTATTCTGAGACTTGTCGGCGTATTAGTGAAAAATATTTGACGGATATGCAGAAAAAACAAAAAGGGGGATAGCAGGCAGCTTATCTTGTATCTTGTATTAACTGATGTTT